GCTGACAGGGAAGGAAGCTGGGCCTCCTATATACGCTTGCATGTATAAGGAACAAAGAATATGGGAAGAGGCAGCAAAAAGAAAGGGTCCTCAGCCCCCAATCCTGAGAAAGAGGCAATAGCAGACACAGCGCCAATAGATATAAAGCGCTATCTCCAGAGCCTCTAGGACAAGTTCAGGAATGAAGTTATTAATGACCTGAAGCTATACATAGGCAGAATAGTTAGAGAAATGCTAAGCACCACCCAAGAAAAAGCAGATGGTTGAATGGAAGAACAGAAAAAGAGGGGAGAATTGTTTGGTGGAGAAAACAGAGAAAGCATAGAATACATGAAGCAGGTTCAAAGAGATTACCAGGAAACTAAAAACTCTATCGAAAACTGGCATAACAGCTTGAAAGAAACTAAGGACAGATTATCTCAACTGGAGAGCAGATTTGTAATATGGGAGCATGAAATGAAAACTTCTTAAAAATAACAAAGAAACAAACAGCAATAATACAAAGACTAGAAGATGATAAGAGAATCTATAACTTAAGAATTAAGAACATAAAAGAAGAAGTAGGGACACAAACAAATGAACTACAAAAGCTACTCACAGAAATAGTCCAGGAGAATTTTCCTAATTTAGCAAAAGGTAAAAATACTCAGTTGTATGAAGCACACAGGACCCCAGCCACCTACAACCCAAACAGAGCAACACCCAGGTATATAATAATTAAAATTCCAGAAATCCAATACAAGAACAGAATATTAAAAGCTGTCAGAGACAAGAAACAGATCACTTACAAGAGAACACCCTTCAGAATTACAGCAGACTTCTCGGTACAAACCATCAAATCACAAAGAGCGTGGGGGAAATAATTCAAGCTTTGAAAGATAATAATCTCCAGCCAAGATTGATATATCCTGCACAACTATCCCTGGAAATTGATGGAAAAACAAGGTGCTTCCAGGATAAAGAGGAACTAAGGGAATATGCGACCACCAATTCGACTCTACAGAGAATACTGCAGAATATTCTAAAAAAGAAAAATACTAAGATTCCAGAAACAGTGGCAGAGAGGCCACAATGAATGGACCAGAAAACAAAATGAAGACAAACTGACAACTAATGACAGAAAAAGAGCTCAACAGAAATGAGGCAGAAAAGATTGGATGATAGGAACGGCTATTTTGGAGAAAATGACATCTTAATAAGTACTACTGATTTAGTATCATCTTGTTTTGAAGTCTCATCAAGCTTTTGTTCTGTCTCCATTGGTCTAAACAGATTGTATCTTATTGGATTTTATTATATATGATAGTATAAGCAAAAACTTTTATAGACAAGGAGATTATACAGAAACCATTGTTCATTTTCTGTTAGTTGATTCTAAGTACCCTGTAATACTGTCATTCTCTTAAATGGTTTTACATTGTTTTGATATATTTGATGCCATAGTATATGAAGTTATACTCAAAGATTTCAAGGAAAGAGACAATATGGTAACTACTTTTATGTTGGGATTATCTTGTAGTGAGACAATATTTTGCTTAAATGGTTGTTTTGATCTGCACTTTTTTTTCTGTTATGCCCTCTTTTATCTCAATCTCCATTTTATTATTTACTTTTTTATTTTTATCCTTTTAATTAAGGGAAAATAAATTTTAAAATAGGATATATTATAGTAACCGACTTTGACTTTCCATTATCCTGATTTTAAAGCCCTGTATTGCTCTCACCATCTTGTTTTGACTGATGTTCCTCTATTCTGTTTTGCTTGATAGTACCAGGTTCGAAAGTTTAGGCAACAGCTGTGAAGATAGTGGGATTCATTATGACACCCATTCTGGTTGACTATTATGTACTTTTGAAGACCTATAATGTCTCCAATGTTTTGGTTTTGTTGGTTTTGTTCTTTACTGTTTTGTTCAATTTTATTATAACTGATGATAGAGGCAATTCTATTAGAGATGGCAGGAGGCATTATGGTAACCATTGTTGATCACCTTGTATTATGCTTTTACATTATCTATTATGTCCACCCTTTTGATTTGACTGACTCTGTTCTGTTATGTCACATTTGGTTCTACTCTCTTCCAAAAAAGTAATAAGAACTGTGGGAGCAACAAAACCCAAAATGTGTAATTATCATTGTACAAAAGAGAGGAAAAGAAGGTGCTCTAAATGATATAACTGCATGTATATTTAAGTGTATAAGATAGATAATGATATTACTGAATTTTGTAGGATCATTGAACAGAACTGTTTGCAGTCTCACTGGAATGTCCACTTTATAAGCTTTAATTTTGTAACTTGAACAATTATTTCTAAGATGATAATATGTAATCCATTAACTAGTTATTTCCTACTGTTTATTTTTTTCTGTAAATCTGTATAACTTGTACCCTTTCTCTGCGTTTTTTCTTTTTCTCCTTAAATAAAATTTAAAAAAAAAAAGAATCTCATGGTCATCCTTGCCTTCATCTTGTACTTAGACCTGACTTTTGTTAGAGAAAAGAACTGCAGTAGTGAATCCCTTGGGCTCTTCTTCCTGTATCCCTACACACTTTTGCACATAAATAAATACCTATTTATGTCTGGCTGACTGGGGTGGGGGTAGACAAAGTGCAAACCTTCACACTCTGCCCACAGGCCTGTGAGTCAGGCAGTGGACGTTTGCTGGTGGCCCTTGGAGGAGATCCTACGGGCTATGCTTTGTTTCTGCAACCACTCAATCCTTAGTACACATCATAAAATACTCACAGTCTCTGGAATCACACTGACATAGAGGGATGAAGAGGACGAATCAAATGAGAGAATATTCCTGAAAACCCTTCTCTGCTTTCCAGCTCCATGTGTTTTGAGAAGCTTGGCAGTTCCTTTGATGTTTCTTACAATTGAGGCTCTTCTCTGCCATTTTAATGTCGGATTCTCTAACATGTGTTTTGATATCAATGGAAATATGTAATATATGCATTGAGAATTAATTTATTTCCATAGTAGTTTTTGAGAAACTGTTATGCAGGGGGCAAGTTTAGCACAAAGTCTGAAAAGAGAAGCGTTGTCCTATGAGAAGGCTAAAATGGCATGATTTCAATGAGAATCTGCTGCCATTAGTTTGGAGAGTGAGGGGATGCATACAAACACTTGAAAGAAATTTAGGTTATTAAAAAGACATAGGTAGGAGACATTCACCTATATGGAAGTTCTGGAGACGAATAGCACAGCGGAGCAGAGCCACAGAGGGAATAAACCTGACATTTGGGTGGCAAGTAAAGAAGTTTGCCTAAATAGAATCAATCTTTCCAGAAAGTGGATCTTGAGATCAGGGTTTGCATGTAGAATAATGAAAAGTGGCTCCAGGAACAGCAGAGGGATCAGGAGAATTAAAACAGAGATAGAGGGAAGATAGCACAGGAATCTCCGGAGTTCAGCCCTGTGATGCAACTGACGGCTGTCTTCTTATGCTTCCTTCTTTGCTTGCTAACTTAAATCCAAGCAAAAGAATTATGTTCCTCAATGCACAGAAGCAAATAATATATTTGAAGATACCTCTTGTGTCTTTCTAAGGCTTTACTTTCTCATCTTCTTTGTTATCAGTGGGACACTTTAGGGGAAGCCATGTACAGTACAACTCAGAATTGTCAAGGTGAGGGATAGAAATCCAGTCCCACTGAGCTTTGTCAAGGGCTCCCTGTGGAACACCTCCTGGTGCCTTCCAATTCTGTGCATTGTTCAAGAACACTGGTGCAATGTCCTTACACAGATTTCCCAAGAACCCTGGAGCAAGTATAGGTCTCCTGGTAGCTGAGATGACCGGCTGTCATATGACTCCTTCTCAAAACTTGTTGCACAGAAATGCCAGGAATGAAAGACAGGCCAAACAGGGAAAAGGGGGTCAGGGTAGGGGATTCAAGGAGTATCCCCATCAGAGTCACAAGCAGGGTGACTGAGTGCAACCTGAGTGTATTAAAAAATGATAGGTTTTGGAAAATAATTTTTCGGGCTTGGAAACTTGACTTCAGAAACTGTCATGCATTATAAGACCTGATATTTCTGCTTGTCATGAGCAGGAGGGCCTTTTAAGCAAACAGATTTTATCATGTGCACACTCATGTTCAAGTTACTATAAGGATTACAGACTACGTGTGCTTGGCTAGTGTATTTTCAGGTTTATTACAGGTTTTACGTAATGTAACACTCACGAAATGAACATGTGACTTAACACTTTCTCATAAAGACACTATAGATCAAATAAACAACTGAATTATCAGAAAATAAGAATAAATGTAAGAAAATATCATAGTTGATGCATCTGTTTGTACTCAAGTCATCTAGTAAAATAAGGACAATTATTTCTCTGAAGCTGCTGATCTCATTCAAACTGATATCAATGACTGTATGCGTATATAATGTGTGTGTGTGTGTGTGTGTGTGTCTGTGTGTGTGTGTGTGTGTGTGTGTGTGTTTAGTCTGCTGAATCTTTGGGGAAGCTGACTATATTTTACTGTTAGGCACTAAGGTTTTATAGAAATTGAGAACAGACTATTAAATTGCCCTGGAAATTGATACCATTTAGCAAGTCAACAATTTAAATGCCCAAACTGTGTCTTTTAAAGAGTATTAATTCCCCAAGGGGTCTCATTATGTCATTTCTCATTTTGTTTCAGGCAATCAAATTCTGTTTGTCTGAAATGGTTTTAGGTAGAAAGGTCAGACACATCCATTCAGTTTCTCACCTCTTCATTCACCCATCCTCATTCAGGACCATTTTCTCAACATTTTGTGAGGTTCTTCAGGAGCTTCTCAAGAATAATGAATGACTCCATGTAATATGAATTGATTTACACTCACCATGTTTAACACTTGTTCATAACCAAATTTTATACTGTGTGTCAAGTTGTTGACTTATGATATAAATGTGCCAAGATTATTGAGACATGTAAATCTTACACTCATTTTGTTCTTCAGATTTATCTTTTGTATCATAACGTTTAAAACAAATATGCATGAAATTAATAAATTATGCTATTTTATTGATGCAATTGTTTGAACAAGAAGATTTGGGATCCCCACCTCTGGGTTGGTATAGAAATTGGAAGGTAGCATGTATGTAAAACATGTGTATTGATTGAAGTGGACTTGGTAGCTGAACAGATGAGAGGACAAGGTCAGAAAAGAATGAGAGTGGCTCTTAGGCTTCCCACTGATGTGATGTTCAAGTGAGGGACATGGTGCAGAAATGAATACCTGGAGGAGGAGGTAGTGTTGGGACAATCAGACTGAGGTAGGCTATGGGAGGGCTGAAATACTGATGATCTTACCAGTGCCTAGAGTAACTTATTTTAAGTTACTGTGTTTTCAAATAAAAGATTGATCCTCTATCTTGGAATTAGCCACCCACAGCCCAGATTGGATTTAACTCGTAGAATCTAAATAGAAATTGGTGTCATTAGTTAAACCCCTTTCTTGAGTGAGAAAGACAGGTTGATATGGCACAGAGGAGGTGGCTATGAACCAACCAGGATAGGCAACAGACTGAAAGGCAGAAGTAGAGCCTTCCTTACAGTGGAAAAAGAGAAAAGGCTTTTGTAATGTATCCTCCCAGTACAGGTCCATGATCTTAATCTCCTAGGGAAAAAAAGAGGCTTGTTAGTGAGAAGGGGAGGAAACAGAGCTGTCCAACAAACATCTAGTTCTGAGAAGCTTGGCTCCACTCCAAGTACCTTTCACCCAAGATGCAACTGATTCCTCCCTGGAACAGAGGAGTGCTCTATCTCTGGTCTGGGAGCTACTGTGACCCCTTTATCCTGATACTTAGGTCAGCCTGGATTACCAGGCTCCAAAGGGGCTTGTATATTATACTTACCATGATTAATAGGCATGTTAGTTTCATGACTAAAAATCTTCCTTTTAGCACATGGATAAAAACATGAACTCTGCAAAATGCAGATAAACAGTCTCTTCCCATTTGTCAAATGTGTTAGCTTGTTTATCAGAAGCATTCCATTATGTCAGAGAATTTCTAGGTGGCAGTTAATTGGGACTGAGCATATCATTTCATGGCTTTCCAGAAACATCTCCTTGGGTGTTGCATCCAACCTAATAGCAGCATTTACTAATTTCAGGACTGGAAAGTCAGATTCCTTTGCTAAATTGATAATTGAGTATTGTAAAGCTACCATTTCGATTTTGTAATGAAGTGACATTAAAGAAATCCATTTCATATATGTGTCTCAGAAGCTGGACATCACTCACCTTAAGCTGCAGAGTAGGCTTTTCCTCAGTTTCTACGAAGAGACTGAGGTTTTTGTCCTTGATCCCCAGGTAAACCAGATTTCCTTCTGCTTTATTACTGAGCTCTGTCTGTCTACATGGTACAAGGGCAAGAGTGACTGGAAACACAATGAAAAATGAAGATGTCAGGCTCTGAGCAGAGGAAAGGCAGTATCCTGACCACATACTCAGTTACTCTTCTAAGCCAGGGGACACCTATCACGCAAGACATCTCCCAGTGTGGTCCTCCCATTAGATACACGGCAGAGGCACTTGGTTGTGAAAACCCATTTGCTTAATTCCTTAATATCAGAACCACAATTGTCAGCAGGGCACATGACTTTCCAAATATAACAATAAAATATACCACCAACTTTGCAGCTAAATGTGGCTGTGTGCTTAGATTTTGACCCATGAGATGAGATGTAAATGGATGTATAGTGGAGGGGGTCCTAAAGTCCTTTTGAGGTATTATTATGAGAAATTATCTCATACAAGTAAACCCAAAAGAGGAGCCACTGAACCCCACAAGAATAAGATGGGGAGTGTTGAAAAGAGAACTTATTAATCACACATAGTGTGAGTGAAGAGTCAAGAAACATGAGATCAGAAAAGTGTTGTTTAGGTTCAAATATTTGAATCTACCTTTGGGAAGTAGAGCTAAAGGGAGAGTGAAGGGCGGTCTACAAATCAGATTGCTTTGATGTGAACTTGAACGAGAATTGGACACAAATCTTGTGGCCAGCTCTCCCATGAAATCTGTATGAAATTCAGCTTTGATTGGAGCAGGAAAATAGAATGGTAATAAGAATGGAATGTGAAACTCAAGAGACGTTTATAATACTAAGATTTTAGATGTCTGTCAGTGATAGGAAACACCCAGTAGATAAGCTAAGAGATGGACTAGATCAACATGGAGGTACAGAAAAGAGGGAAACAAGCTCAGATAGATTGACTTTTAATCGAAGAAAAAGTATTATTAGAAAGAAGATACCAAATCAGATACATATGTAGTCTGATGGTAGACATGAGCGAGCTTGAGTATAAAGATATAGGTAATGATTGTTAGACTTTTAAATGAGAAAAACTCCAAAGAAGTCAGCCATTGCTTGAAAGGACAATCTCTTCTCATGGAAAGATACTTTTTTTTTGGTAAGGGGAGATGTCAATCTCCCAAACTCCTGTTTCTACATGCACAGGTTTTTCTTTGTAGTTAGGGAGCCATCTTGGCCTTTCTTGCACTTCTTTTGGATATTGAGCTGGTACCCAGAAGTTGATGAGGACCAGGGTGGGCTCACATCTATCTGAAGAGAAAGTGGGGATCCCTCCAGGAGCAACAGATACTCAAATGTCACTCACCAGGTTTGATATCATTGCTAGATGGAGCTGCTATTAATACATTTCCACTCAGGACCCATACCATCTGTTGGGAATCACGAATGTTGAAATAGATGGGAAGCTCTCGAGCTGTCAAGTAAACAAAAAACAAAACACAGATGGATTTATAATTAACTTTCAGACTTTCTTTTTTTCTTCTTTTTTTATTTTAAAGAGAATAAAACAAAACAATACATAACAGAACAAAGCAGATCAGAACAAAACAATGCAAGCAACATAAGATTTCAAAACAAGAAATAGGAAATCAACAGTGGCTACCATAATGTCTCTTGTTTTCTTCAAAATAGTCCATATCTTCACACACAATGAATTCGAACTGTATAAGGTTGGCACTTCGCTTGGAACCTGTTAGGGCCCCACACAGTGTCCTCAAACCGCTGGGCAGCTTTGGTGCGCTGTGTGGCAGGAGCTGAACTTTCAGACTTTCAGCTTAAAAATTCTTTGGGTAGAATTACCGTGCTAAGAACATTTGGCTAGGAGAATAAAGAAAAGGAAATAAGGCAAGGCTGATTTGTAGATGAAAACACTAGAAAGGATCTAAACACATTTGCTGTCCTAAGAGATTTTCAAGATTTGCTTTTTTTTTCTGGAGGTTGTATTTTTCCCCCTTGATCAATAGTGAAAATATAGCAACAACGGCACAACTATTTAAGTTGCTCACTAGTATATAAGGTTTTTAAAAATATCTTCAATCAGACAAACAAGCAAATCTAAATATAGATAGTTACAAAATAATTAAATGCCCCACGATTTTCTAACACAAATTTCTGAGAACTTCAGCCAGACCTCCTAAAACACTTACAGAAGAAGAAATGGGGCCCTTGTCCCATACTCTTTGGTGAGGTGGAATACAGCTAGTTCCAAGGTGAGTCATGGTTCACCACTTATGAGGATCCATGTGACTCATTTGACTTCAGGGTTTTCTGTGTGAAGGACGAGGTATACCAGAGGAAAAGAATAGGGCAGCAGCAGCTGTTCATGGATGGAAGAAAAACATGCTATCCATTTAACTCCCCTGCCCTGGAATTTTCTTTTAAACTTTAGAGAAAGCTTCCCCGAAATCCAGTCCTGTATCCATATTATTAAATTCCTTTTTTTAAGATAAAAGACTTGGTTATACAGGTAAATTGATTTCATTTTGGCAGATTCAAAAATGCACACAACCGTGTTCCCTCCATTTGCCTCTTGCCGTCCCCTCTGCACTAGTTTCACAGGAGAGTGGAAGGTTCAATGTACACAATGTAATTTGCTCCGATCCACCCCTTATTATCTGTCCTTACACCCTTTCTTATTGACAATAATAGGCTCACATGCAGATTTTAAAGGAAAGATAGGAAGAGCATATTTCAAGGTCAGCAAACCTGGAATGGAATGGAAGCTCCCATCTCAGTGTTGGCAAGGATGGTCCTAGTTCTCCAGGTGTAATGGCTTTGGATGTCATTCATCATTGCATCTGAGAGGGTTAGGAGATTCCATAGCATCCCCCCAGGGCCCTCCAGAGCAATAAGCCTCTGAGTTCAGAGGAAAGGAAGGAGTGGGCAGTGTATGTCTATCCTTGTTCTGGCCCTCTCCACAGCTGGTAGTCACATTTCTCAACTTCACATTGGATACTCTTACGTAACTGACAGAAAGTCAGCCTCTGTAACCTGCTTCTCCATCCAAAGAAGCATCTCTAAAGATCCTGCACATCACAATCCTCAGTCTCATCAGGTTTTCTGAATATCAAAGGACATCTGGGTTTGTAGATAAAGGCACCAGCTTAGATTCCTATGAAAAATACAGATGCCAGTGATAATTCATTGGTCAAAATCCTCTCTGCTTCAGGATTACCTGAATCAGGGGCTGTCTTTGAAAGTGACTAAACAAATCGTCATCTGGAATTCTTGGAAATAGTTTCAGGTACCTTGGACCAAGAACTTTAGATCTTCTTAAGGCCCAGATACACAGTGGCGAAAGAAGTCCCCCAGCACATGATTTCTGAGCAGCAGTGATTACCTGTCTCCTGAAGTGTTCTTCTTCCTGGGTTCAGAGACTCAGCTCTAGTCAGATCTACGTCCTCTGGGATTCTGGCTTCAGACTCATTGGTTTTTAATGAGCAAGGAAGGAGCCCTACACCCTGGCTGTGGGTGTGCCCACTTTGGCAAGGAAGCTGGGCTGACCAGCGGTGCTGGAAGGCTTTGGACAGATGGCAGCAAGCACCACAGGTGTGGTTGTTTGGGGCTTATTTAAAGCAAGAGCAGAGCAAACACCAGCAGAAAGCAATGAGGCCATCTGTAAAGAGTAATTGGAGGCAGAGGTTTGGCTTGCTTGACTCACTGAATAACAAGGTCATAACCCATTCACATCTGATCTCTGCAAATCACAGCACTCATCTCAAATGTTTTACATACTTTGTGTGTAATATGTATAAACTTATATTGCACAAGTCTGGAGAGCTTGGTCTGATTCTGATAAGGTTCTAAGTGCTTTATGTGAGTAAGCTCCTAATCTTTTAGGACCCATTATTATTTATTTCTTACATAAGAAGACAGAGGCCTTGAGAGATAAAGAAGTTTACTCAGTTACTCAGCTTCTAGGAAACCTAGTCAAGATGGGGGCCAAGTGTCTCCAGGGATAGCAGCTATGTGGCTTTCCTCTGAATTTTGGTCTCTGGCCTCCCACACTGTAACCAGCTCCCTATAACTCCCATGTCCTCTTTTGGGAGCAAAGATGATTGAAACTGACTGAAGAACATTCAGCAAGCCTCAAGGAATAATTCAGTATATGTTTCATAGGACAAATAAAAGGAAGAGCTCCTTTTTGGTTGGACAGGTGTTTCATAAGGTGAACGCTGTAGATATTTCAGCCTTTTTATACAGTTCTTGATGGGAATGAAAATGATAACACAAGCATGCTCCTACTTGCAGGCAGACCTTTGATGTCTGGAAAGCAAGCTGTAGTGTTTGCATTTTACTTCTTCCAATGTCTCTCCCTTTTGTTTAGATACCTGTTCTATGTCTCTTACAATTCATTAGGCCCCCGATAGTCTGCTTGCTAAAGTTAATTACTTGAGTCCTTTAGTATGTTAAATCACTTAAGTCCTGAATTTTAGTTTACTTCAGGTTAACTGTTTAGGACCCGTGCCTCATCTGCCTAACTTCCCTTATCCCCTTGTTTTATTCTTCCCTCCACAACAGTGACACTGACTGTGTAGGATGCACAGGCAATGAAGTGTCTCCTGAAATATTTCCTGCTCAGAGAGGGCACTGTTGAGGAGATGCAGCCTGAGCTTACTCCTGTGAGGTCCATCTAGAGGTCCTAATTAGAGGCTAGCAAGAGTACAAGTTCACAGCCTGTCTGCATCACCACTTGTAGCTTTCAAGCTGTCAAATGAGAAGAAACAAAATTAACTTAGAGGTTGTGGAAACATGATCCAAATAGCAACTCTACAAGCGATAATGATAGCCTTATTATGGGGGAGTAATGAGGATGTCTACTTCAGATCCTTATACAGATCCCCATGGTGAGGATAATTTTTAGTGATCTTTGAAGCACAGTTGGCTAGTTTTTATGTTATAGTGCTCATTATTTCAGATTGATTGGCAGAAAAACAGCATTTTCTTCTAGGAATGGATATAACTTCCCTTTTTTGACAGTAAAGAAGAATCTATAAGTTTGTTTTTTTAAAAAAATATTTTTATCTGATGTAACTTATTTAAAGATAGCATTTTATTTATATACTTATAATTTTTATAATGAAAATATGGAGGTCTTCTGTTTTTGAAGGACAGTCTTAGCTAAATGAGTAAAAGAATGTTGTTGGATTTTATAGTTATTATTGTGGCTTTTTTTAGACTGTCAGCAAGAGCCAGTAGATAGGATTTGGAACTATTTTGCTTATTTATCCTAAGTTACTATTAATATTTCTGTATATCTCATTACTTATAGTTTCTTGCTGGACTTTTTATTTTTAAACAGAGTCTCACTGTATAGTTTGGGCTGGCTTTGAACTCAGTATGCAACCCAGACTAGCCTCCGACTTGTCTTGCTAGATGTTTAAGACCAAGTTTAAGTGAGACCTATATGAAACAGAATTAACCTCTTGTTGTATTTTAACATCAGTCAAGGCTGCCCAGGGCTTACTTTTGGAACCATGTACAGAGTCTCTTAGCTTTACTTCCAATGTCATCTTTCAGGACTAGTAACAGTCTTGCTTGACCATACGGCTTTCCTTGGCAGGATGGGAGATGCTTTTTCTCTGGTGACTCTCCTTTTAACACAATGTAGGTCAGTTGACTCCTGTCTTCTGTGGTCTAACAATCTCTCTGCTCAGACAATTGGGTGGCTCAGCAGACTGATGGGATCCTGCAGAGATGTTCTCTCATGTCCTGAGTCCTTGTTGACTGAAGAGGGCTAGGACCAAAATGTTGGATGCTCCTTTAACCCAGTTACATATTTAGCTTTGGTCTTAGAGGCCTAGTTGTCAAGAATATCAGTTATACAAGCATTGAAGTGAGAGCAACAATTGCTTTAGAAGTCAAAATTTTTTTTCATTTTGAAGAGGAAAAAAGCCAAGCAAAATAAAACAGAATAGAGTCAATCAGAACAAAACAATGAATGTCACACAGGACTTCAAGGCAAGATAAAAGGAAATCAATAATAGCTACCATAATGCTCTTGTTATCTTCAAAATAACTGCACGTATCATCAGACATAATAAAATCAAACAAAACAGAACAGAGTAAAACCAATCAAAACAAAACAAAGAAAGCAAAAAAACAAGATAATAGGAAAACAACAATGGTTACCATAATGCTTCTTTTTATCTTCAAAGTAGTTGCCTATGCCATCAGATATAATAAAATCAAACAAAACAAAATAAAGATCAATCAAAACAAAGCAATACAGGGCTTCGAAACAAGGTAATTAGGAAATCGATAATGGCTACCATAATGTATTTTGTTATATTTGAAACAGCTGCCCACGCCATCAAATATAATAAACAATTAAATATTTCAGATTATGAAACAGATTCAAAGAGGTTTCCAAGAAATTAAAAACTCCATCAAAAGCTGGCAAAACCAATTGAAAGAAACTGAAGATAGACTTTCATCCTTGAAGACAGGTTTGCAGCTAATGATCATGAAACAAAAGATTTCTTAAACATAACAAGGAACTAGGAAATAACAATTCAATAACTGCAAGATAGTGCAAAGAAAAATAATTTAATAATAATAGGTGTCAGTGAAAAAACAAGGGTCAACACAAATGACATAAAAAATCTATTTATAGAAGTAATAGCAAAACCTTTCCAAACATGTGAAAGGCACATGAAATACAGATAAGTGAAGCATATAGAACTCCAGCTAGCCATAACCAAAATAAATCTACATCTAGACATATAATAATCAAAATCTCAGAAATTCAGCAAAAGAACAGAATATTAAAAGCTATTAGAGACAAGAAACAGATCACCTATAAAGGAAAACCCATCAGAATCACAACAGACAACACAAACCATCACATAAAGAAGAGGTTGGAATGAAGTACTTCAAATCCTGAAAGCAAACAACTTCCAACCCAAATTGGTGTACTCTGCAAAACTTTCTTTTGAAATTAATGGAGAATAAAATACTTCTATGACAAAGAACAACTGAAGGAACTTGTGATCACCAAATCAACACCAAAAAGTACTGAAAGACCTTCTAGAGAGAGAGAAAAATGACATGGTTCCAAGAACAGTGGCAGAGGGGAATCACTGAGTTGGGCAAACAATCAAATGGAGGGGGAAAGTAGGGAGCAAACAGCAGGAAAATAGTATGGCTGAGATGAGCCAGTGCATGTTGGCCATAACTATTAATGCAGATGACCTCAACTTACCAGTAAGAAGACGCAGGAAGAATGGATCAGGAGACAAGATCCATTAGTATGCTTTATACAAGAAACACATTTAGCTCAAAAGAAAATCCATTGACTGAAAGTCAAAGGAGAGAAAACAGTGCTCTAGGTGACAGGGAACCAGAAAAAAATAGGGGTAACTTGCCCACCAACTGCAGAATGGATAAGAAAGATATGGCATTTTTATGTAATTAAAAGCTACTCAGCTCTAAAGAAAGATAACCTTGAGGCTCTTATAGGTAAACAGACACAACTTAAGATCATGCTCATGAGTGAAATGGTCAGAGTCACATGGGTGGACATTGTGTTGTCTCCCTCATATAAAAAACTAAAGGAGTTAGTGGGATCCAAAATGCACAATAGATATTTTAAAAGTGAAAAGGCAGGAAATGTTTAAAAAGGGAAGACAGTGTCCATTGGTAATTTATGATTATGCTTTGAAAGCCTGAATTATTTTCATTGTTCTGGTTAATTTGGTTTTAGTATGTTTTGTTCTGTTTAATTTTTTATAGAAGTCAAATTTTTATAGAATCATACAAGATTTTGCAGGTATAGTTTGAAATCTAAAGCACAACATAATACTTTAGCAGAATTATGTTGAAACTATTAGATGAGAGCCATTTTTTTTACTTTTTTGAAAGTAAACATAGACATCTATTTTAGTATACAATACCTTACTATGGAGAAGAGCTGTAGATTTTTAAGTGGAACATTTGTTTGCCATCTCTCCTTATTACAAAACCAAGTATGAGGCTGTGTCTTTTGGCAACAGGGCTGAGTCTATAGAGCAATACAATTTCTCCGGGGAAAGAAAGTTAGGATCATCTTTCAAAGTAAAGAAAGACTCAACATAGGACACAGAGGGCATTTACTCTAGGTTTTTCAAAATAAATCTAGTATTATCACTGTATTATTGGCCACGCCTCACCATCTCCTGGTAGATACCTTCTCCATACCTTCACCATGCAGGTGTGTAAGGAAAAAAATCAAACGTTTTTCTCAGTGACTGAGGAACAAATTTCTCTCTGTTCTTAAGAATATAGTCCAGAGGTGCAACCATGGAGGAACACTAACAAAATTTCTCACCTGAAACATATAAGGCATGGGGGAAGCATGAGACAGTCCTTGTCATATCACTTAAAACCTCATCTAGCTTGCAGCAGTGTTAGAGGAAGACTAATTTCCCTTTGTCCTACCAGCAAAAACCACAAGGTGCCCTGGCCCATGCCCATGGTGGAGTGAGATGGGAACTAAGTAGCTCCTCGTGGGAGCCTTTCTCCCTTTGTTCATGGTCACAATAGGGAACTCCTTGTTCCAC